CCGTTTGGGCGTTCGACCGACCAAAGGTCCGCCCGATATTTGTCGTTTGTTTTTATTTTTATTTAATAAATTTTTTTTTTCGAATTCTGCTTTCGATTGGGGGTGCCCGAAAGAAGCGACAGTCGAGGTTTACTTGAAAATAGTCACCGTTCATGAGCTTCTCCAAAGAAGTACACATGCAAAGCTTGCTTCTGCGTCCAGCTTTCCATATAGCTTCTGTCTACTACTGCTGTGGCGGCGTGTAGGCTTTTGGTTTTTGTTGTTTTTACTTTTATTTTCTTACTTGCGTTGTGTTGTTGTTGTTGTTAAGTTTGTTGCACGGTTTTGCTACATAAAAGGGCAATTTCGTTTTAGTGCCGCGGCCTTGTATAATTGGACCCGAAGACAGCGGAATGTCTTTGAGCAAAGGCGGCGGTTTCCACAATTTTTTTTTTATACAATTTTTTATATTTGTTATTTTATTAATTTTGTTGGTGTTTTCTGCGCCGCATTTTGTGTCGCTGTGTTTTAAGTTCGTTTTTATTTTTTTTTATTTATTTTTTAAGAAATTTTTTATATGCCAAATTTACAGATTGTGGAAGTTGTTTGTATGTATGCATATCACGTTGTATTGTGTACAAAACAGAAACACTTTAATGGAAATTTTATATAAAGTATACAATCGAATATTCGGTTTCGATTGCACTTGCCTTACCAATTCAAAACAAAAGGAGATGAATTTATTTGTAAAAATAGTTTTCCCGTTATAAATTTTACATACACATATATTTGCTTCACACAAAAAATTAGAGAACTACGAAAAAAATATTTTGAAGCAAGTATATATAATTCTCTATTTATTGGTTTTCGAAAATATTTTATTTACACCAAAAAAAAAAATATATTTCAAAAACAGAAAAAATATAAACATAATAATATATATATAAATATATATAAAAAAATTCAATAAATACATGATAAAAACTGTTTTAAATCAAAAACAAAATTGGAGAAATACAAAAAAAATCTAAAACCAAATAAAATTAAAAATTTAAAAAATATATAACATATTGAATAAATATAAAAAAAAAATTAAAACAACGTTGGGGAAATACAAAAAAATTATTTCTCAAACCGGAAAAATTAAAAATTGGAATAATTCCAAAAAATATAGTTTATAATCCAAATCATTCAAAAAATTAATCAAATTCATTAAAAATTAGAAAAAAAGTACAGAAAAAATTGTTTTCAAACAAAAAATAAACAACAAAAAAAATTCTTAGACCAAAAATAAAAAATTAAAAATCGGGAAAATTTGAAAAATATATAAATAAAAATAGGATATATAAAAAAAAATTGATTCAAACAAAAAATAAACAAAATTGGGAAGCACAAAAAAATATAGAACCGTAAAAAATTGAAAATTAAAAAAAAATGCAATAAATATAATTTTTTAATCCAAATCATTACAAATTGAAAAAAGGTCTAAAATTATTTTTGTGCCATACAATAAATGAATAAATAAACACAGAGAAAATGTTTTAAAATGAAAAAGATTATTGATTGGTGAATTAAAAAAAAACATTTTCAAAATCCAAAAGTTAAAAAATTAAAACATTGAAGAAATATATATATATAGTTTTAAAAACGAAACAAAATAAATAATTAAAAAAAAATTTGATAAAAAAAAAATGGTTTTGAAATCGAAAATATTTATAATTGAAAACAAACTCTAATTGGTAAATGCAAATAGAAATATTTATAAAATCCAACAAAATATAATTTTTCAATACAAAAAGTTAATAAATTGAAAAATATTACATATAAAAGAAATAGAATCAAAATCCAAAAAATTAAACACTGGAAAATGTAAGAAAGTATATTTTTATAATACAAAACCTTAAGAATCGGAAAAATACAAGTAAATGTATTTTATAAAAAAAATTGAAAATTTTTGAAATGTATTTTGCTTGAAATTAAAATTTGAAGAAATTTAAGTAAAAAAGTTATAATACAAAAAATTTAAAATTGAAAGAATTTGCATGTAGAAATAAAATTCCAAACCAAAAATAATTAATTACTCGAAAAATGCTAAAGAAAAGTATCTCAGATCAAAAAGTTAGAAATTAGCAAATTATAAGAAAATGTGTTTTACAACAACAAAAATTGAATCATGAAAAAATACAAAAATAAATAAATCTTCTTTGAAATCCAAAAAATAGTAAATGGAGAAATTAAAAAAAAAATTATTAAACTTCAAAAAAACTAAAAATACGAAAATTATAATTAAAAAAATAGTATAAGAACAAGAAAAATTATTTATAGCATCCAAAAAAACGTATAATTAGAAAAATGCTTGAAAATTAGTTTTCGAAATTAAAATTGGAAAAAGCAATATTTATTTTTTATTATTAATTAATTATTTATTTATTTTTTAAACAACAAGAAAATTAAAGTTCAGATAAAAGTATTGAAAAAGATTTTCAATTAATTTTTTCAAATCCACTCTTAAATTAAATAAATACATACTTTTATTGCTCGATTTTTAAAAAAGTTGTAGTTACTGAAAAAAGTTTATTTTCAAACCAAAAGCTTTTGAGCACAAGAAAAAAATCTAATTCTACAATGACCTACCAAAAAGCCTATTTAAAAACAATATTATATCAATAACTCAATAAAAAGTCATGAAAAGATGTACATATATACATATATATATATATATATGTATATATATATATATCAAATGACAAACTTTTTAAGATTAAAAAATAAGCAAAAATCATAAAATTATTGTAAAATAAATTTAAAAAAAAATTTTAACAAAAAAAATGCTGATTATTGGCGAAAAATAAGAGAGAAATTTATAAAAATAGTAAATATTATAGAAATTTATTTATTAAACTGTAATGTTTTGAAATTTTTATTTAACTTATGAGAAAAAAAAACACTTTTTCTATGTGAAAATCTTGAAGTGGGATGCTCGCTGCTGGATAAGTGACTTATGGTAATTTATGTAAAAAATACTATTTAATAAAACTCGGAAATTGTATATGGAATAGTCGATTATTAAATAAAAAAAAAAAAATTTAAATCTTTAAAAAAATTAAATTTTTACAAAAATTTGGTTAAGAACTTAACTAACAAATATTATATTTTTGCTGCATTTTTCAAAACCTTTTTAATTCCTTCGCACGACTTATAAATATCTTTTCTTACCAATAAACAAACTTTTTCTATATTTTTAAATTAATATATTTTTAATTATTTTATTTTTATAATTTCTATATTTTTTTTATTTTCTTGTATAGGTGGTAAATATAATTTTGCTGAAGAGTTATAATTTTTGAATTGTGCCACTTTTGACAAAATTTCATATCTATAAGCACATATGTATGTACATCAACTACATACATCATTTTGTGCTTAAGAATATAAACATAAAAATAAAATATAACGAAAATCTAAACAACTCTCTAAGTTTCGTTTTCGTTCACACCAATTCGATTCGTTTCGTTTCGTTTAATCACTATAAAAAAAATACCATTTTATTTACCTTCACCCTACAATGGCTCATATGAACGAGTCCGAGTATGTGTTGCAGCAGCAGCGTGAGAACTTTTCGATTTTATAAGAAATGTCAATTTTGCAGTGGCAGATTGCACACATACATATATGTACATACATACATACGCATATATACATACAAACATGCCACTTATTGTTATTGCAAATTGCTTGACTTGGCCGTGAAATGGAAGCTTACTTAAATACATATTTACTTGACTATAATACAATACAAGTGCGTGAGTTGTGTGTGGATTGAAAAGTGATGAGATGATTGGACAAGCAATTTTATGAATCATGACTCACCTCAATTGACAAGAAAAAATACAATAAATATATAGACATGCACAAATACTGGTTTCATCATTTATATGGGTGTCGTTAATAATATATATTTATTAACATTCCAATTTTTCAATTTTACATAATGGTATTTCTATGTAAAAAAATTTTTCATATTTTTTATTCTTAATATTTTTATATGTATGTTTGAAGGGTGTCAGTACAAATAATATTAAAATTTTTCAAAATAATAAATTAATTTTTTAGGTTCTCCAATCCGGTTCCAATGTGAGAAAAAGGAGGAAGGTTGAATGGGCTAGACTTGTCATCTTAAAGTAGAAAAATTATTGAAAAAAAAACTGTCGCTCTTAGCAAACAATCACCTATCCCACATCATGGACGACGGTACTAATGATAGGGTTTTGGATTTTTTTTTACCCAACGCCACTCTCAAACAAGCCATGCTCATCAAACCCAATCGGACTAAGAGTAATGACGAATCTTGCTGAAAAAAGGTGTTAAAACGTTCCGAGAGCAAAAGACACTCAGCGGGAAACCAGTTGTTCAAACTGTCGTGACAGGGTTATCTATAAAATGGAGGAAAATATACTACAAAATGAGCTCAACGATTTCTCATGGTTGGTTGGTTGGTTGCAGTATAGATTTTACTGTTACTTGAGCTGAGATAATTGACAGCCACATGTGTAGCCACCAATTCACTTTGAAAAACACTCTAGTGATCCGGTAAACGAAAGGATTTATAGATACAAAGATCCCTTGAGTAAACTCCGTCACCAACCGTGTTATCAAGTCTTGACCCAGTCGTATGAAAATTAATCGAATTGGCGCTTGCTGATGCACAAGAGCGCCACCCTCTGTACTCTATCGAATTTGAAGATAATTAAATTGTTCTGAAATCCTGGCCACCATACTACAACCCCATATAGAAGTATAGACCTAACAACTGCCAGCCAATGCCCAATTCCGTTCCGTCGCAGCTTTGCAGGTATGGAGGACAATGATTGCCTTACACATCCTTTCTTCTGAGTTTATGTGACCAGCTCAATTTCCTGTCCAGGATGAGTTACAGGTATTTTGCAGACACAATTTCACAAATATTTAACTAAATTTAACTTTAAAAATAAAATCAAAATTGAAAATTGTGTTAAACTTACCCTTTCATATTGATAAAATGAACGACTTGGTCCGGCACGGCCATACAAATATGGATAATAAGCACCGTACATTACTTCGGGGCAGGACACTGCCATCGTCCAGGTAATCCAAGAGGACCGAAATTTATTTTTACAAAATCACACTTGCTATTCTTCTTTTTTTTGCAAATTATAATTTTATTTTTATTGTTATTATTATTATTTTTTTTTGTTTACTTAAGTTTTGTATTGCAGTGCATTTTTAAAAATTTCTTTCACGTAAATTACACAACTATTTATATTTTTTTATGGAATTCTTCGGCAAGTAACTGCATATATGTACATATATCTTTTTATAAACATTTCTTTGCGTTTGTAATAATTAACTGTTTCTCAATACACTTATATGATCGCACACAATTTTACATGTAAAATATGCGAGCGAACTTCAATTTAACTTCAATTAAATGTGCACTGGGAGAAAATGAGGTTTGAATTTTTACACCGTTCACATGCACTTACATACATATGTATACAATGTATAAAATGTATGCAGATACATATGTATTTTTTTCTTAAATGAGTGTAGATATGCAGCGGTACACTCCAATCAGGCTGCTCTAATTTAGCACTGCCTCGAATGTGCGTGTGGTATTATTTCAGCGCATTGTTTTTGTATTTTATTTACTTTTTTATTATTATATTTTATGATCACCACTTTTTATATTAACAACAAACTTCACTTGGCTGCTATTGTTGGCGTTGGTGTTTGTTATTTATATATGTATGTACATATATCTACGTGTTGAGTATTCACTTGTTTGGTTCCGCTGCAATGGCGAATTCCAGGAATGAAATCTTCGTGCCAATAGTTTTATTGCATTTTACATATCGAAGTTACAAAAAAAAGAGGAGAGGAAAACTTACTCCAACAACAATAACACGTTCACACTATTCGCATTCAATTCCAAAAGCACAGCAGGTGTTGTAGTAACACGCACACCCGATTGAGCGTACAAACGCACGAACGAACGAACGAACGGGCCACCGAGCACACAATTTTCTATTATTTATTCTGCCTTATTATTTTTATTAGCTGCTTTTTTGTTTATTTTAAGTTTATACATATATGTATAGTATTATAACCAGAATTTAGTTGTTGCACTTATTCATAGTTGGCTGGCAGAGTTGGGCAGATGTAAACCGTAGAGAGGGGGAGTGTTGCGAATAATGTTTTAATTGCACACCTCATGCACGTTTCACTCGTTGGTAGCATTTCTCTCTCATGCTACGCCATACACACATACTTACATATGTATGTACATAACGTAGAGTATGGCGATCTCGTGCGACTGGTATTCTGCCAAGAATAGTTATGTTACACCTTTCCCCTACATTCATTAACAACTCTCGCTACCGTTTGTTGTAAAGATTCCCCTCAACAGTACCTGTTAAACCGTTGTGCTAGTCTCGTCATTATTACAAACACATGATCTGCATCGTCATCATTGCCAACAACAAACACCATATACATATACCTACGATTAAATACTTTGTTGCTCCTCTGGTCACCACCACCATCAACACCATCAATTGCACTGCAATTAAGAATAAGAAGAAGCAGCAAATAAAATAGTGTTGCTATGAATATTAAATAAAAAAATGGTAGAAATACAAGTTTTGCTTGCATCTCAATGGTTTAGCGCTCGCAAGCAAATTATAATTAGAAAGAAATAAAAAGAAAGAAAGGGAAAAAAGTAAGATTGGCTATAAAACGACTAGAAAAATTCTTGCGAAAGGAAGAAGCAAAGTAATCATAATAATGAGCGGATTAACATTTCTGCATAGACGAACAGTGGCAATTTAACACAATTTAATCGCAAACAAACAAACAAAAAAAAAACACAAAGAAGCAAAACTAGCACTAACCCAAATGTAGAAATGAGATGGCTGTTTTAAGAGAGTAGGATCTAGCTGGAAGTGTTTGCACTTGAATCATATGTACACACATACATGTGTACATACGTTGGAACCGTAGGTAAATTGTATAGCAGAAGGAAGGTAATTGAGCATATGCGAATACCCATGGGAATGGGCACAAAGTAATTGTGCCTTTTTTTAGCCTTGCAGGTATTAATTTCGAATTGTAGTTTACAAGTGCTCAAAAGTAAAAAAAAAAGCTAATTACATACATGCATACAAATGCATGTATATTTTGAGACATTTCAGTTATCAAAATAAATTATATTTCATTTTTACGCGAAGCGAAATGCTGTCGTTAATGTTAAGTGGTTAACAGATAATGTCAAAATTTAAAATTGAGGTGGGCTGTTAATATAATAGCAAGCAGCCATTTTAAAATTAACATTAACGACAGTATTAACATTTTCATTTCGTGGCGTCGAAACGAAGCAAAATCATTTCGCCAAGTTTACTTTTTATATTGACAAAACGAAATGGCTACTTTTTCTTAGCTTAGCTCAGACCAACTACAATAGAAAAAATTTAGAAAATTATTAAAAGAAAATCGTCTAAATGTACGTTAACTTTTCAGCACCGAATGTCAACTTCTCCGAATGTACATATTTCTGATATGAAATAAGTCTCTAATAAAAATCCATCAGCTGTTCGTAGGTGAATTAGAAAAAACTGTAGGTGAAACCATTTATTGGAAAAACGTTAAGATGCACAGCACAAATCGATTATTGGAAATTATATCCATACAATTATACCCTTAACAGTAGAGTATATTCTTGCCTATTCGGCTGGACTGTAGAAGAGAGATCTGCCTTTCTACAAAATGTTTAAATTTTCAGAGCTATGTACATATATTTTGGTCAGTGTTTTTTTACACAGATCAGCATTCCTTCAGTCAAACAAGAGCCTTTTACATACATACAATATGTATATAGTTCCCCCATAGGGAGCACAACGTTCACAAAGGAGCCTACATTAATGGATCTACATACATAATTTTTATTGAGTAAAAAACATAAAATTGCTCTGTAGAAGAATACGTTCTGCGTCTTGTTACCTAAGGTTTGTCTCTAAACGAAGTACAACCACGTACGGGGCTAGGCAGCATCACTTATACAGTCAAACATCTATGATACACGTTGAGTACCATAATCATATGCTGTATCTGCTAGGACATTAACATCAGGCAAGGCGGAGGAGAGTACTAGGCTAGTACCGACTCCATTCAGTACCATAGACAAGAACAGTAGAATAGGACAGTATACCGACTTAAAACCTGTCGGACAGTCACCGAGAGTCCGTCAACACCTTCATGAATCCTCTTGCAGTGAATGGTGTTGTCAGAATTCAAGCACCACTTATTGCAGACGAAGAGCTCATGAAGGGAGAGATTGAGAGACCCGAGCGATACTAGCGTAATTAAGATCTGGATAATGTAGTCGACTTAATTCCTACCACTCAGACTTGACCTCCACCTACTCAAAGTATGTCTGCATGCAATGACTCTGCACACGGCTCTAACCAACTCTTTGCGTACCCCTCAAAAGCTATTCATCTAAGCTTCTTTTATATCTCTTACGAACCCAACGAAAAAGCTCGCTTCCTGGACCACCCATTAGATGACCTAAATGACTTATACTAATATCTCGTGATTCGAATATAACAACAACCACATACGAGGCCAAGATTTTCTTCTAACCTAAACTGAATGAAACAAAATCGATGAGACTTTTAGCGCTTCCAAGATCACAGATTTTACAAACGATGAAAACTGTGTCTGATTATTTCTGAAGTCGACATCAGTTGGTTACTTTCTTTTAGACTGGTCCGCATTTTGGAAGTCAATTGCATGCTCTTACTAACCAGGAAAAGTCGAATAAGAAGTGATGTAGTGGTCAGTTTTTATTCTTAAGCGGAATCACAGTATTGCCAAGAGGTGCTATTTCGGACTGAGTAGAGAATTGAAAAGTAAAGTTCACTCTCGACGAGCAGAGACCAAACTCTACAAGGTACTAATCATTGACGTCCTGCTGTATGCTGCGGAGGTTATGCGTAAGGTTTATGGTGCTCTACGAGTTGGAAACGGGGAATACCCCACCCAATGGGAAGTTAAGCCTTGGACTGTTTATACGATAACATTGAAATAGTTTAACGAGTCAAGACACAGCAGCTCTTGTCGGATGGAGAAGAATACTCTAGTTTTGAATGTTATCGGTGCACTACACGCCGGTGGAAACAGATGAAGAGGAAGACCTTTACGACGACGGAAATATCAGGTAAGAAAAACACTGGACAGAGATGTTAATTTGTTTTAATGTAAAAAATAAACGCCTTTCATTGATCGAGACAAATATTGGTCAGACATTGCCAGACACCAGAAATGTGTTGGGCTTTCCTACTAAGCACCGGCATTTTTCAACAAACCTAAGCCCTTCAACCGTCGGTAAGAAATGGATAACTGAATAGTTTTTTTATGTTACGGAGCTTTAAAACCAAATTTCTTCACAATTGATCAAACTGTCCGGCTCATACTTTTGCTTTTTGAGTTAAATATTATATGTTAAAGAAAGGAACCACGACGGCATTTCGGTACGTCCGGCAAAGTATCTATTGCGGCGCAAATTCAATTGACAAATTTCATTTTAAAATCTCTAAAATGTTAGTAAATAGTTATCGGACGGACCAAAGAAAGAGAAAAAGGGGCTTTTATTAAATATTCAGCAAACTGCTGTTGGATACTCCACAAAGGCGCTCACTATTTTTATGAGACACTTATTATTTTATGCCAAAAGTGCACTCCAAGATGTTGGTCTAGTAGAAGGTATAAAAGAGGCTCCATGGTATGCAGGGGACAGTTGTCGGAAATGTAACAAAATTGACCCAATTCCGACGGGGATGGTGACTAATGATGAAGAGTGGATCACCAGCAACGTCAAATGAAAACTATGGTGGTCGAAGGGTAGTCAGTCGACAAGCCAGAATTGACAGCAAGGAAGGTTTAGTGGTTCGCCAGAAGCCCCGAGAACTTGGTTGGTATTTCCTTATGCATCCACGTTATAGTCCTCGCAGCAAGTGATTGCATACAATCTGTTCCTGTCTATTGGTTTCAACAAGAGAGACATAATAACATTAACATCAAAATGCCAAAAAGAAATTGAGGAAAACTATGGTAGGTTAGGTCAGGTTGCAGGCCTGACTAAGTCCCATTGTGATGCCACA